ACTGATAAAAGATTACCGGATACGCATGACTGACGAGCGGCAAGAACAGCGAAATTGGTCGTGTGCTTCCAGGGAAACTTTGTCCAGGCATTCATATACTACTCACATAGAAAGGAGAAAATGAAGAAAAATCTTCACGTTTTCTTATTTCACAGTTGGTATCATCCCTGTTTTAAACCGCTCTTAATCAATAACAGCTACTGCGAACATGGGGCCGTTGTCTGACAAAGTGGTTTGCTCAATCCATTAGTCACAATACCTCCTAGATGGAAACAGACAGGCATATTGTGATCAATCTAACATTTGTTCCTGGGTTTCTCTTCTAGTCGAGGTACACAAACATTGAAATTTTCAAAAGGTCACTTCTTGACTTAAAAAAAAACAACGTCGTGTTCCATGTTGGTTAGTTTAAATAACCAGCGACAATCATTATGACGACGATGACGATAATGATGAGGATTGGGACCGAATGACATTTGCATATTTATGGTGATTCGACAGAACGATTAGTTTCCAAAATCGGAGTGGTTTGGAAATCGTTAAACCCCGCTTGCCGGTGAACAGATTCAAGTTGGCTAAACAAATGTGGACCACAGAGTAACCAATTGAACAGACGGTAGCAACGATGAAGGGGATGAGAGCGGTTAATGTTACTGTTTTTCTTTTTGAGTGGTCTCAACAAAAGAAGCCCCGCATGAACCCCCAAAAATGTAGTCGTGTATTTTTTCTTTTTTGAAAGGGCAAAAGTATGATGAATTGTCAAATGCCAGCCCGCCTTTATCTATCCTCACCGACCAAATGGAACGACAACCGTCTGTCAAATACCTTGGTATTATTTTCAACCGTAACTTCACCTGGTATGATCACGTTAATGACGTTTTTCTGAAGGTCAGGAGACTCAAGTTTTATGTTTTACGTCTTAAATCACTTTCCATTCCAAACCATCTCATAGGGCGTTTTGTTTTTGCTTGTGTTTTGCCCCACTGGCTTTATGGGTCCCCTGTTATCTTCCCTGGTCTTTTTAATAAGGATCTTAAACTCATTTCCCGATCTCTCAAATTTCTGTCAGTTTATAGTCTCATACCACGTGAACATCTGGTACAATATGTGGTGACACATCATCTCAAGTGATGTTAAACAGTTTCCAACAAGATTTTATCTGATATTTCCCATCCTCTTCATTCCACCCTTAGTCGGTACCTTTCTCACTCATCCACCCGTTCCACTCATAAACTTATAAAGACACACACTGAACCTTACAGGCGGTCTATTGTCCCTTATCTCGCCAGATTTCTAACAAACCATCAACTTGTTGCAGGAAATATGCACAAAACGCTAAACTAAATCAATCACAAACACCCGGGTATGCCATTGGTTTCTAAGGCGGATATCAATTTGTACGTCTTTTCATTGTTGTATTATAATGTTTTTTTTTCACTTTTTGTTGACACACTGTGGTCATGTGGTTGCTGAATATCCACTTATCGAGGTGTATAAAGTCATTCCTTGACTTGACTTGAATTGATTTTCACAGGGAGAGGAGCGGAAGTGAACACACACACCCACAAAAACCAGTTGGTGGCTCAAACCGACCAATCAGAAGTGTGACCGAATCCACTTACTGTCCGGCAAACAGGCCAACTGTGCGGTAGGCAAAACGGCAGAAAAGTACGGGGTACGCATTGCAGCCCGAGCACTGATACGTTTGCTTGGGGGAAGCTGAAGCAATTGCAAAGCCAACGATTCCGAATGTGGTGCCCGATGTAAACGTGGGATCACACGATGCAACGGACGAGTCGGATACCATTGAAGACGTCGTGTTTTACCCCCGGCCTCGGATTTACTTTCACTATGAGAGGAGTGTCGATCCACTTGGCCCCGGTTATCATCCATCCCGGTACTCTTGGGGGCCGAATGCAATTCTGGTGAATCGTCCAGATGACCCAGAAGCGATTTGTATTTGGGCAGTTTAGAAACACCACGCCACGTGGCCTCGGACGGAGTGCCCATAATCTAATGTCAGAAGAAGGAGGATGTTGAAAGTGAGATGACAACTACTAAACGGTGCCAGAACGAGAAGATTTATTCATTTGAAGAACAGTATTGGGTAAGGTTATATAAAGTCAAACAGAACTGAATATCTAATTTAAAACATTTCTTTAGTATTTTCCTGATCATCTCTTAATCGATGATAGCCAACCTTGTTTTGTGGTTGCAAAACTAAATCGTTAAATTCACTCGCGGATACCGCGTGTATTCTACTCACAACTGTGAGCAGTATCGTGCTCACGAGAGTGTCAATTTCACATCGTGATGCGCTAGGAATTCGGATTTCTTGCGTATATTAAAAGCATAATCGGAAATAGGTCAGGAAATAAAGAAAATGAAATCAGTAGGCTGGCAACGAAATTGATAGTCTGTATAACAAGACATACTCCGAAAGACTGTAAATATTGGGACTCTACTCATCTCAATACCACCGACTTCAGGGGGACCTAATCTTGGCATATCACATACTGCATCAACCCAACCACCCTTGCCGTTTTATGCCGACTTTATCTCATAATTACCACATCAGGGGATATCTATTAGAGGTGAAGACCCAGAACAGCCACCTCGATTGCCGGCATCACTCACTTGCAGTCGGAGTGTGCGGCGTATGGAATTCTCTTCCACCTGATGTAGTGTGTGGTCCTACAGTTGAACTATTTAAACTATTTAAAATTTCAACATCCGTGAGTAATCATGCAAATTTTTAGTATTATTATTTTCTTTTTGTGAAGTTATTTAAAATATTCTGTAAAAATCCTATGGGGCATGATAAGCTCTAGCTTTGTTAACATCGCCCACAATAAAACTGTTGAGATGCCTGAATGCAAACTACCTATTGAACTGTATACGAATGAACTATCCAACTGTACAAAAATGCCGGAGTGCATGCAGTAATAGTAAATCAGTTTGACTCCAAAAGCCTCAGTATGGTCGGGGGTGGGTGCCTAGGGTTACGGATGGCCACCCTTTCCTTGCACCTCACCAAACACTCCCTGATCAAGCGTCTCAAATAGCCAATTTTGCTGAGGAAGTCCTACTCATTGCCTTCTCATGGCGGAGCTGCTTTCCCACCAAAGTGAGAGAATGAAAAGCTGACATCCATGGCTATAGCCGGGTTGGTGGACCACTGGCAGTTCACCCAGGGGAGTTGGCCAAAAGCTCTGATTCCAAACCAAGCATGAGGAGGCATACGAACCAAACAACGTTTTGGTTGTGGCAGTGGTCACCGGTTCGATTGGGCATCGAAGTTTATTGGGCGCCTCGGACGTTTGACCCCGTCCAAAGGGTGTATGATCCGATAACCTGGACACCGGCCCCCAACGGATTGCGGTTTCTGCACACCTCCCGGCTACCTTGCAGAGCACGCTTTGGTTAGCCGAAGGATCCGGTCAAGAACTTCATAGGAAAATTCACCTACATTGGCCTAGGCAACCTGGCAGTATTCCACCCCACATGCAAATCACGGAACGTTTTTCTTTTTTATAAAGATTATTGTAGCATGATTTATTTGGCACAGCCTGGCCTCAAACCTGTGTAAGGTACATCCATTAAGCGGTATAAATATACCACAGGGTCTGTATGCCAATGCGGGTCTCTCAAACCCATAAAAAATGTTTGGAAGTTACTAATACAGTTAATTATTAAGCACCGAGGAATACCAAGTTTTATTATTATGCATTTGTATACAGTTTGACCACAAGGAGTGAGGCGAAGCTGATTGATAAAGAGATTTATGTTTACGGTGCAAACGAATACGGACACATTTCAGAACAGGATACGGGGGTATCGGGCAGTTGAATAAGCTAGTTAGGCAGTCCTGGGGACAGAAGATTCACTCAGGAAGAAGGTTCGGTGTGGGTAATTCCAACAAGGACACGCACAGCCAATAAACCACCACGAAAGATTCTTAATGTGCAGGGAGAAGACAAAACCGTCAGAAGTGAAAGAACGATGAAGATTGTAGGAGGTTTATTGTGTGTGTATGAGTAAAATCGTGCCGAACGCGACAATGATGGAGGAAGGAGGTGTAGTCGGGCGCAGAGGGTTTATAGAACACCAATTCAAATCTTTTTAAAACTTCCAGTAACACTTAGATGCAAACAATGGGGTGGCGTTTACTGGAATCATTCTTTGGACAATATTTACAGGTTTCCAGATTTTCCGAATCATTTCGGTGGGTACAGGCAAGCGAACAGGTTCAGAAAAGTTGTTCAATCCATAAATTTAGTAGTTCAACCGACATTTATTCGGGGCCAGGAAACTTTGAATTCCTCGAGACTCATTCTAGTAGTACTACAAATTAGTGTCAATCAACCTCTCAATGAAATCGCCTTCCGGGTTGGTCATTTTTCAAATTTATATCAATTGTGATTACAGTTGCAAAAAGATGAGATATGTTTCATGTGATAAATATTTATGCAATAATTTATGTGATATATATATATATATCTTTCATACACATCGGAGGCCAGACTGTGTACCAAATAAATCATGCTACAATAATCTTTATAAAAAAGAAAAACGTTCCGTGATTTGCATGTGGGGTGGAATACTGCCAGGTTGCCTAGGCCAATGTAGGTGAATTTTCCTATGAAGTTCTTGACCGGATCCTTCGGCTAACCAAAGCGTGCTCTGCAAGGTAGCCGGGAGGTGTGCAGAAACCGCAATCCGTTGGGGGCCGGTGTCCAGGTTATCGGATCATACACCCTTTGGACGGGGTCAAACGTCCGAGGCGCCCAATAAACTTCG